TATAAAGAGAATTTTAACGAAAATTTTCTATAAAAAGAAAGTTTTAATTTTTCTATAAAAAGAAAATTTCAACGAAAAATTTTTAGAAAAAGAGCATATTAACGAACATTTTCTTTAAAAAGAGAATTTTAACGAAAATTTTCTATAAAAAGAAAATTTTAATGATAATTTTCTATAGAAAGAAAATTTGAACGAAAATATTCTATAAAAAGAAAACTTTAACGAAAATTTTCTACAGAAAGAAAAAAGTTTTAACGAAAATTTTCTATAAAAGTTTTAACGAAAATTTTAATTAAAATTTTCTATAAAAAGAGAATTTTAACGAACATTTTCTATAAAAAGAAAATTTTAATAAAATGTTCTAAAAAAAGAAAATTTTAATGAACATTTTTTAAAAAAAGAAAATTTTAATGAAAATTTTCTAAAAAAAGAAAATTTTAATGAAAAGTTTTTAAAAAAAGAAATTTTTTATGAAAATTTTTTAAAAAAAAAGAAAATTGTAATGAAAATTTTCTATAAAAAGAACATTGTAACGAAAATTTTCTATAAAAAGATCATTTTAACGAAAATTTTCTACAAAAAGAGAATTTTAACGAAAATATTCCATACAAAGAGAATTTTAACGAAAATTTTCTATAAAAAGAGAATTTTAACGAAAATTTTATATAAAAAGAAGATTTTAACGAACATTTTCTATAAAAAGAAAATTTTATCGAAAATTTTCCATAAAAAAGAAAATTTTAACAAAAATTTTCTAGAAAAAGATAATTTTAACAAAAATTTTCTAGAAAAAGATAATTTTAACGAAAATTTTCTTTAAAAAGAGAATTTGAATGAACATTTTCTATAGAACGAGAATTTTAACGAAAATTTTCTATAAAAAGAAAGTTTTAACGAAAATTTTCTATAAAAGGAAAATTTTAACGAAAATTTTCTATAAAAAGAGAATTTTAACGAAAATTTTTTATAAAAAGAAAAATTTAACGAAAATTTTCTATAAAAGGAAAATTTTAACGAAATTTTTCTATAAAAAGAAAATTTTAACGAAAGTTTTTTATGAAAAGAAAATTTTAACGAAAATGTTCTATAAAAAAGAAAATTTAAACGAAAAGATTCTATAAAAAAGAAAGTAAAAGGAAATTTAACGAACATTTTTTGTAGAAAGAAAATTTTAACGAAAATTTGCTAAAAAAAATCCTACGAATATTTTCTATAAAAATAGAAATTCTATTTTAAACTTGAAATATTTTTCCTATAGTCAATGATTTGAACAAAATTTAAACAAATTTCCTCGTCTAGAAAAATTTCAATAAATTTTCTTTTAGTAGAATATGTCAAATATCACGTGTTCTATATTTAAAATTATTTTACAAAACATATTTATCTCTTAAATTTAATTTCTCTACTTATATTTGGGTTTTCTTTACTCTATTCATTATAACTTTATATTTCAATACATTTATTTCAAACATCTTATGCAGTTACTCACATTTGATTACTCCCTAGATGGGTTTCTTTAGACTGTATGCCGTTTCGTTACCTGTTGTATTGGTAACTTCGTTTTTATGACAGTTTTTTATGGGTTTTCTTGACTAAAATCTGGTAGTAGTTCAATTTGATTCAACTTTACTCTACATTATAACATAGTAACTTCAATTTTGGTCTTTTTCATTTTGTTTTCAATAAAAACTAAGAAATAAAAAAACCTGTAGAAGTTCATTGACCACATAATTATGAACTGAACTTCACTTTAGTTCAGTTTTTTTACAGCTAACAAAAACTATTGTTTTTGTAATAATATGAAGTAAAATAGAAACAAACCCAACAACTTCATCTAACAATAAAATTTGTAAACTACTGGAACTATACTATTTACAAGTACCTTTTACCGGTCGGTTTTGTGTTTGGAACTACATAAGTACTACAACATACATACAAACATATGTACTCTATTAGAGTGAATTCTATTAGGAAGTCATTGCAGTCAGTCTTTGCTGCTGTTGTTGTAGTTATTTTTACTGTATTATTATTACTGCAGCAAAGAAGAGGGTTAAGTTGAGCTTAACACGCGATTTATTTATTTACCTTTTTCTTTTGAAAACAAAACTATATATATAGTACGATTTTGATTACTAGCTCAGGTGTACTACATATATATATATTTTTATAGGTAAAATTGTTTTTCTAAGATTTGTGGTCGTTATAAATGTAAATAAATAAAATGAGTACAAATAAATAAACTTTATATTTTTTATCAATATTGAAAACTACAAAATGAATGTAAAGTCATCGAAGTCATTAAAGATTGTTTTTAATGGAAAATTTTATATAGATTTTTCTAATCTTTCATTTCACCTAATGACATTTTCTAAAAATCAATTTATTATTATAAAAAAAATTAATTTGAAGAAAATGTAATTGATGTAAAAAAAAGTAAATTAGAAATTTTATTAAAACATCTCAATAGGAAATGAAAATGGACTATCCCAGGAAAAACCTATATTGAAAAGTAATGAGTTAAAAAGCTAATAAATTCTCTTTTCACTACTTCTTCATCAGCACTTCATTAGGAAAAGTACTTCCACGCTCGCTTCCAAATATGAAGCTAAAGAAGTACTTGCAATTTCTCTTACAAAGAAGTTGTTTAGTAAGTTATCTATAGTCTAGTTTATAATCTAGTCTATAGTCTTGTCTATGGTCTAGTCTATAGTCTAGTCTATAGTTTAGTCTATAGTCTAGTCTATAGTCTAGTCTATAGTCTAGTCTATAGTTTAGTCTATAGTCTAGTGTATAGTCTAGTCTTTAGTCTAATCTATAGTCTAGTCTTTATTCTAGTCCATAGTCTAGTCTGTAGTCTAGTCTGTAGTCTAGTCTGTAGCCTAGTCTATAGTCTAGTCTATAGTCTAGTCTATAGTCATGTCTATAGTCATGTCTTTAGTCTAGTCTGTAGTCTAGTCTATAGTCTAGTCTATAGTCTAGTCTATAGTCTAGTCTATAGTCTAGTCTATAGTCTAGTCTATAGTCTAGTCTATAGTCTAGTCTATAGTCTAGTCTATAGTCTAGTCTATAGTCTAGTCTATAGTCTAGTCTATAGTCTAGTCTATAGTCTAGTCTATAGTCTAGTCTATAGTCTAGTCTATAGTCTAGTCTATAGTCTAGTCTATAGTCTAGTCTATAGTCTAGTCTATAGTCTAGTCTATAGTCTAGTCTATAGTCTAGTCTATAGTCTAGTCTATAGTCTAGTCTATAGTCTAGTCTATAGTCTAGTCTATAGTCTAGTCTATAGTCTAGTCTATAGTCTAGTCTATAGTCTAGTCTATAGTCTAGTCTATAGTCTAGTCTATAGTCTAGTCTATAGTCTAGTCTATAGTCTAGTCTATAGTCTAGTCTATAGTCTAGTCTATAGTCTAGTCTATAGTCTAGTCTATAGTCTAGTCTATAGTCTAGTCTATAGTCTAGTCTATAGTCTAGTCTATAGTCTAGTCTATAGTCTAGTCTATAGTCTAGTCTATAGTCTAGTCTATAGTCTAGTCTATAGTCTAGTCTATAGTCTAGTCTATAGTCTAGTCTATAGTCTAGTCTATAGTCTAGTCTATAGTCTAGTCTATAGTCTAGTCTATAGTCTAGTCTATAGTCTAGTCTATAGTCTAGTCTATAGTCTAGTCTATAGTCTAGTCTATAGTCTAGTCTATAGTCTAGTCTATAGTCAGTATATAGTCTAGTCTATAGTCTAGTTCTATAGTCTAGTCTATAGTCTAGTCTATAGTCTAGTCTATAGTTAGTCTATAGTCTAGTCTATTAGTATATTCTATAGTCTAGTCTATAGTCTAGTCTATAGTCAGTTCTATAGTCTAGTCTATAGTCTAGTCTATAGTATAGTATATTAGTATAGTCTTATAGTCTAGCTATAGTCTAGTCTATAGTTTCTAGTTATAGTCTAGTCTATTAGTCTAGTCTATAGTCTAGTCTATAGTCTAGCTATAGTTTCGTCTATAGGTCTAGTCTATAGTATAGTCTTAGTCTAGTCTATAAGTCTAGTCTAAGTCGCGTCTATTGTCTAGTATATAGTTCTAGTCTATAGTCTCAGTCTTATAGTCTAGTCTATAGTAGGCATAGTCTAGTCTATAGTCTAGTCTATAGTCTAGTCTATAGTCTAGTCTATAGTCTAGTCTATAGTCTAGTCTATAGTCTAGTCTATAGTCTAGTCTACTAGTCTAGTCCTAGTCTAGTCCTATGTCTATAGTCTAGTCTATAGTCTAGTCTATAGTCTAGTCTATAGTCTAGTCTATAGTCTAGTCTATAGTCTAGGCTATAGTCTAGTCTATAGTCTAGTCTATAGTCTAGTTTATAGTCTAATCTATAGTCTAAACTAATTTTACGTATCCGAAATCCTATTTTGCGAAACACTGACTACGCCCCTGATGAACCCATGATGTTCAAACTAAATCTCGACAACAATTCCTCTTTACACATTTAAAATTATAAGGTGTATTCCTATTAAAAAGTAGTCCATGGGACACCCAAATGTACATGTGTATGTAAATCTTCTACACCCTATTCTAAAAATTGAGCTTTATTGTGATACACACATTTTTCGTTGAGTGTAAGAATTAACTAATGCACACGATTTATAAAGAAAGAAGAAAGACATTTCAAAACAAAACACTAAAAGGTTAATGGCTTTAAGCCATACACAATTAAAACATAAACAAGAATTATGTTAAAACTGTTGTGACAAGATCGTAAGAAATGTTAGAAAAAAATGTAAAGAAAATGAAACTTTAAAATTTTATTACAAATTACAACGAATACTTAGCAAAGATAATTATGATGAACTAATTTTTTTTATGAAGACAAATTGGTTACGTTCCAATTCTTTTTGTACACAAAAAAAATTTGTCTTTAAAGTTTCGTTTTCTTTTTTTTACTACAGTCATATAAAAAACTCTCACTAGAAAATTAAAAAAAAAATGTTTGTTTTTTAAAAAAACCAAACTTACCGTTATCAGTGAAGCATCTTCCAAAACATCTGATTTTAAATTACGACCACCGCCAGCCAAATTGGCGTTACTGGAGAGCAGGACACTGTTTAAAAGATTCTTAAAACTTAAAGATGTATAACTAAAGGGCGAAAGTATGGTAAAAGCCATTGAACTTCCAAAAAGTTGCATGGCAAATACCGCATACAAAATGGCAATTGGCCAAAGGCCACTATGACAACCACGACGACGACGGCGACCAAATAAACGATTTATAATTTCACTTTTTTCCAGCATTTTTCCACTATAGCTGGGTGGATTTTTCATTTTCCTTTTATTATTCGATATTTATTTGCTGATTTTCTTTGTGGCTTGTTGCAATGTTGCAAAATGTAAATAGACACTAAAACAAACTACTAAAACTAAAGATATTACACTATAACTTCGACAAACAAAAATTAAAGATAAACGTGTTGCAGGCAGCTACTTTTGCTGCAATAAGTCTACTGCAGCAGGTTATTGGTAAAAATAAAAAAAACAAAACACACACTCAAATTTCGAAAACTTTTTTTGAATAGCACGGATTAAGAAAAAAATTCACACTTTAGTAAAAGAAATAGTTGGCAACTTTTTTGTTTATTATTTTTCACTTTATTTATTAACGTTATTTAATGTTTTATTTCCTTTTTTTGTTTTAATTTATTTAATATTTCTTATACGTTTCTCTTTGCCAGCCTTATTTCAACTAAATTTCTTATTGAACAATTTTCTTTATTTTAGTCAAAAAATACTCAAATAAACTAAACAAAAATATATTTATGCATTTAAAGGCCGTTTTCTTTGGCGCGTTTTTAGTAGACTTTTCTTAGTTTAAGTATTTAAATTATTTTAGTTTTTTTAAACCGCTCGTCTTGAACGCTCAACATCGACTATATTTATAAGCTTGTTAAACTAAAGTCTAGCTTTATTTTAAGTCTCAGTCTCACCTGTATTTTAGAGATCTTTGCTAGTGTTCAAACATGTTGCGGTTTGATGTTGCCTTTGCCAGCCCAACATGTTGGCTGCTAATAGTGTTTGTTGTTTAATTGTGTCGTTGGTATCGTAACTGGGTTGTTGGGTTAAATAATCATCGTAATCTTTCTAATAATCATTATCCACAACATCATCATGTACAACGTTATTATTATTATTGTTTGATTTAAATTTTTAATTTATGCCAATTGATTGATCTTGAAAATTTGTCTTTAATAGATACAAACACTAGATTTTAATATGAAGAAAATCAAATACGACAAATTGAATGGGAACTTCTAGATGTTAAACTTGTATTTTTATTTAAACAATCGGCAAAAAAAATATTTGATTGATAATATACTAAGAGAATGACCTTAAACCCGATAATGTTTATCTATAATACTTATAGCAAAAAGTCGAAAAATATGCGATCACTGTTCATATTATTGTAAAGAAGTATGATGTAGTAATGAATAAAATTTAGTCATAGTCTAGTCATAAGCTAGTTATAGTCTAGTCATAGTGTATTCATAGTGTAGTGCTAGTGTAGTCATAGTGTAGTCATAGTCTAATCATAGTTTAGTAATGTTGTAGTCATAGTGTAGTTGTAGTGTAGTGCTAGTGTAGTCATAGTCTAGTCATATTGTAGTCATAGTGTAGTCATGATGTAGTCATAGTCTAATCATAGTCTAGTCACAGTGTAGTTATAGTGTAGTCATAGTCTAATCATATTGTAGTCATAGTCTAGTCATATTGTAGTCATAGTGTAGTCATGGTGTAGTCATAGTCTAATCATAGTCTAGTCATATTGTAGTCATAGTGTAGTTCTAGTGTAGTTATAGTGTAGTCATATCTAGTCATAGTCTAGTTATAGTCTAGTCATAGTCTAGTCATAGTCTAGTCATAGTCTAGTCATAGTCTAGTCATAGTCTAGTCATAGTCTAGTCATAGTCTAGTCATAGTCTAGTCATAGTCTAGTCATAGTCTAGTCATAGTCTAGTCATAGTCTAGTCATAGTCTAGTCATAGTCTAGTCATAGTCTAGTCATAGTCTAGTCATAGTCTAGTCATAGTTATAGTTATAGTCTAGTCATAGTCTAGTCATAGTCTAGTCATAGTCTAGTCATAGTCTAGTCATAGTCTAGTCATAGTCTAGTCATAGTCTAGTCATAGTCTAGTCATAGTCTAGTCATAGTCTAGTCATAGTCTAGTCATAGTCTAGTCATAGTCTAGTCATAGTCTAGTCATAGTCTAGTCATAGTCTAGTCATAGTCTAGTCATAGTCTAGTCATAGTCTAGTCATAGTCTAGTCATAGTCTAGTCATAGTCTAGTCATAGTCTAGTCATAGTCTAGTCATAGTCTAGTCATAGTCTAGTCATAGTCTAGTCATAGTCTAGTCATAGTCTAGTCATAGTCTAGTCATAGTCTAGTCATAGTCTAGTCATAGTCTAGTCATAGTCTAGTCATAGTCTAGTCATAGTCTAGTCATAGTCTAGTCATAGTCTAGTCATAGTCTAGTCATAGTCTAGTCATAGTCTAGTCATAGTCTAGTCATAGTCTAGTCATAGTCTAGTCATAGTCTAGTCATAGTCTAGTCATAGTCTAGTCATAGTCTAGTCATAGTCTAGTCATAGTTAGTATAGTTATAGTCTAGCCATAATCTTGTCATAATCTAGTCGTAGTCTTATCACTCTCATGCAAACTATCGTTGGGGTCTAATGGTTGCTTACAGTTAGCTGCAGCTAATGTAGACCTCTAACAATTTCCGATTTTCTATTATTTCCCAATGTAGAGTTTGCTGTCCTCACAACCTTTGGACGACATGACCCAAAGTGACCCATGATAAAGAAATTTTAAATTTTTATTAAAAACTAATCTTAGGGTAAAAACTTAAACTCCAAAATTTAAGAAAGAACCAACTGACCTGTCACACAGGTCAGGTTCAACCGAAAAAATTAAAACTACACAAAAAGTATGTAAAAGAAAATTTACAAAACAAATAACCATTATCTCATATCATCATCATCATTATCATCACCTCCATCATCATAAAATTTTCTAATGAATAATAAAATGTTTAAAAAAACACATTAAAACGTAATACCAGTTGCCCGAACAAAGTATTACCGCATTTTTCAAAATTACAACTTTATACAATAACAGCAACAACTACAACACAATAAAAAACAACAATAATATAAATAATCATAATAAAACAACAAATTAAAATAAATGTTAAAAACAAAATGAACAAAAAGAAAAATTAATAAAAGAAAAAAATGCTCAATAGAAAATTGAAAAATTAAAATAAACTGCAAATGTAGACGCTTGTTCGCTGCAGCTAGCCATGGTCTTAAAAGTGTGGTTGGTGAGCCAGTCAGCCAACCAATCAACATTTATTTATTTCTTTTGAGAAAAATATATTTGTTTTCATAAATTTTTTTTTGTTTATGTAGAAAAAAATCACATAGTTTTTAAGAAGACAAATAAATTTTTCATACAAACAAACTTGTTTAGCACGCGTTCGACCATACAACAATCATTGAATCGACTTTGAGATTATTTTAGTGAATTTTTGATCATCTTTGGGAAGTGATGATAACTTTAGCGATTTTTTCTTTAATATATGCGTGATTTAGGTAAGTATTTAAAATTTTAGTCCACCTATATTATTTATTATTAAATGAATAAACATTTTGGCGTCGATTTCGAATTCTGACAAGGTCGTGAAAATTTTCGAATGTAAGGTAATGAATTTTTTTTAAATTTGAAAATTTTTTAAAACATAAAATGGCATGATTCACTGTGAATTTTTTAACCCTAGGATGAGCTAGAGACAACTCATCAAATCACCTGTTTCTGATTTAAAAAGAACGTGCAGAGGGCCTTTATTGCCTCTATTGATTCGCCATCAGCAACTTGAGACGTACGATCTCCATTAATAAGCTAGGCAACATACGGCAATGAAGCAATCTTTGCCCGACGGATAGGTGATATAGCCCGCACACTCCTTACTTACTCTGCATCCAGTTCCTGTGAAATCAACTCATTCCCAGCATATACCTATTCCCGGGACCGAAATATTAATTTCACCCTGCATCATTCTCTTCTAGAATTTTGAACTTCTAGTCTGCAAAAGGAAATGACTTCTTAAGCATTACATAAGATAGGTATTCTGTTCAAACCGCGAGTCAAATATCCCGAGGAGTCATTTGATTTCTCCAGTTTTTAGTCCCGGCAGACTAGATCTATTCTCCGGGATTGCAATAATACCAAGTTGATGGCGGTTCACTCAGATGTTGATGTGCTTTACGTGAATACCATTGGGTGAGCTGACTTGACTCACTCACCACCGATCCTTTGTGCTTATTACAAGCCGGTGGTAATATTTGTACATGGTTCTTCCCGTCTAAGTGCAAGCACTTTGCTCAAGAACTCGAGTTATATATTCTTTGACCATTGCTGTCTCGTTGCTTAACTTCTGTGATGCAAAAACATCACTTCCTTTTAAAACCACACAGATGGGATGGCATATGCCAAAGAATTGTTCTCACAGAGAACACACTGTGGTAAAGGGGTATCGACACACTCATAGAGAACAAAATCAGGCACACTCACTCTAGGTATACGTGTGTGTAATATCAATATACCCCTACATTCATCTTGTATCATATACACTTAACACCGAAGGACCAAGTTTACTAACGGTAACATGGTCATATTTTTCTTAGAGCTTTTTACTACAATTAATTTGGCATCACTCCCCTTACTATGATTATGAGCTACACTACCGCCAACACGAAAATAAAACTAAATTTAAGATTTTACTATGATAAAAAATATTAAAAATTCATAAAATAACAACAAATTTGAAAAATATAATCCAACTAAAATAACGCAACAACAACATAAACAAAATTGTAAAGAAAAACAGCTGATTGTTGGTTAAAAGATCGTACTTATCGAAATATTTTTATACATAGCAATAGTGTTGAACCAGTTTGAGCAGACGAAAAACTAAAAACAGAGACCAACTAACTTCAACGACAACGACATTATCATCAACCGTGGATGTTTGAACACGAATGACAGCAATATTTTACAATGACTAGCAATGCAACAACTTGCATTTGTTGCTACTTCACATACGTAGTTGTAATGATCAAGTCTGCAGTACAAGTCGCGGTAATATATCTAGACGTCCTCGTGAAATATTCGAGCATTGGGTCAAACACGTTTTTGTGCTTTAGTTTCCACACATAGAAGCTCTTGTCAGCGGTTTGAAACTGATCTGGTAGTCAAGACTATTATTTGGTACATTTAATGTTAAAGTAAAATTTGTTATTAAAATTGTATAATTCCGGCATTTAATAATAAACATTTGCATTTGTATACAACTGTGATTATTTTACAAAATTTATCGATTAACTTTTGTATTAAAATGCCTCTAATTTTAATATTATAACTGAAAATACAGTGATTTGTCATGTCTATTGAAAAACCCCCCATTTAGTTTCGATATAAATATTTGTATGATTTAATGGTTTTCATTTGATAATTAACTCAATAGGGGGTGAAAGGATTTGAATGCCATTGCGAAAAATAAGTGTGTTTGTGACAAGATTGTTAAAAAGATTTTAATTGGAAAATTTTAATGGTTTTCATGTATTTATATCCTGGATTAAGCTTGATAACTGTGTGCTTTGTGGGGATATGTCGAAAATAAATGGAAATAAATGTGTAATTTTTGTTTAGGAATGAATATTTGGATAGGAATCAACATATTTGGTCATACATTTCGACCATGATTATATATATATAGGGAATAAATTTATGGTTAAGTGTGTCTCGAGTGAGTCAATAGCTGGGGAATGTCTGAAACCTAACCTAAATCTGCAGGTCTGTCATAT